GGATGGATAGTGAATGTTCTTGCACGAAGTAAATTTCATGCAAAGCGAGTTTGAAGAGAAATTCTTACCATAAAAGCGCTTGGTCCATATCTCGGACTACGACTCAAATATCGAGTTCGTTGAAGAAATGCCGAACCAAGATTCAACTTTTGACCGGAATCTTGTAATAAAATCGACGAGGGTGAAGATCTGCCGTGTTCTGTAAGCAGCATCTTTTGTTCTGCGCTGTCTAAAATGTTGGCAGATAATTTGTTCATTTCGTAAATGCGCGAACAATGGCCGATCTGTTTTAACATTACAAACCTGACTCCTTGAGTTCGGTTTTCTTCATTTCAACATCATCCCGGGTATCTTCAATATTAGTTTCCTCATCTTCTCTACACGATGCGAGGCGATCTTTGACAAGATCTACAATCAATGTACGCTGTCTGTGCTCTTGCTAAGAAGTTCTGTTGTAGTTTCAAGGCATTGTCTGGCTCCTTCTTTAATGAGTTCGGCCGATAAATCATCTGAAATACAACAATATCAATTTGACATTCTGCCAACGGAATGCCCAACCAAAACATTGAACAGGTTTGACCCATCGTTGACCTTACCAAAGAGTTGTTTTGGAATTAAACTTTCATAAATCTCAGTCTTTCCCACCGCTGGTCGTCACAAGATGTTTGAGTCACAAGATTTCTGTATTGAGCCTACGGTACCAGTGGGCTTTAAATCGCGGGTAAGAAGGTCAGATGCTTTGGTATCGAATTTTGTGTTTGGCACCGGGCTCGAATCATCTGCACGAGTTTTTCTATCAGTTGAAGAAGCCCGGAAATGACAAATACGTTCCTAAGAGCTTTCACTAGAAGAATATTAAAACTTGGTCGCTCTTGCAAATATATCTATTGAAAATTCAGCAAGCAATCCCCCTGGCAATAGAATGACATGTGGACTTACTTTCGTAATAAATGGCACGAATTGTTTTCTTAACAATAGCGGACAGTTGACAAACCAGGATGAAATGACATTATCAGCAAGAGCTACAGTGTATTGAGAGTATCTAAGGTGAAACATATCAGTTCGTTTATATTTTATTCATTTTGACAAAACCAATAATAAAAAGTTTCAGATGTTATCGCGTTGAGCCAACTTCGATGATTCTGTGTAAGGCAAACATATTCCAAAGACTTGTTTCAACTGGATCGCTGTGAAGTTTTTGTACAAAGCACAAAGCTGTTACAATGCGATTTAAACGATTTAAAAGAATGTTACCAACTTTTCGCCGAATACGATTGTGTGTTTACACAACCTAGCTCTCTTTAGGGGGTACATTGATATTTTGTAACAGATTTCATAATTTACGTAACTTCAAGAAACATACCAGAGGAAAATTCTAGCAGTGGTATGGCAACTTGAGACGTTGGCGAAAGTTTAGTAAACTTTTCCAGATATTGTGGGAGCAGTCTAAGGACAGAAAATTTAGTAATTATTACTTAAAAATCATATATTTGTGAAGGAGTATCTCGCATCACAAGAGACGTTACGTTTAGGCTGCAGTTTATTGAAAAACGTTTCTGTAAATTCACTGAGCACATTATCAAGGCACGATTTCAAATATCTCCAAATAAATAAACTTCTAAAACGCTGCAACTACTTAAATCAACTTCATTCTTACAAAGTGCTAATGGACATAAAAAACGTCTCAAATTCCAGACTATTTTAAGTAGCCATACCTTGCCATAACTGAAGGCATTTCTACCATACATATGGTGAGACAAGATACGCTTAAGGTCGCGAAATGAGCAACCAAGTACGCATTAGACAACACTAGACGAAATATACAACAACGTTTAAGCAAGAACAGACAACCGCTGAAAATAAAGTCACGCAGATTCTTACCTGTTCATCTTGACCAATAAAAATGTGGTACGTACACAGCTCCGTTAATACCTGCACGTGTTACAATAAAATATCCAATTAAATCATTAGTATGGTATGATATAATTATGGTATAAATTGGTTATGGTATGGTGGGATATAATTATGGTATGATAGGCATGGTTATGGTATGGTATGATTTCGTTATGGTATGGTATGGTGTGATATTATTATGGTAAGATATGGTTATCGTATGGTATGATTTAGTTAAGGTTAGTTATGGTATGATATGATTATATGATATGATTATATGATATGATATATGTATGATTATATGATATGATTATATGATATGGTATGGTTATGGTATGGTATGGTTTTGGTATAATTATGGTAAGATATTATGATATATGCAAAAAACTGATTGATAAGAACCGTACTGGAAAAATTCTAGCGTACAAATGAGGTCGGCGCATATCGTTAGGAACACGAAATAATCCAGGAAAAAAATTGTAATTTGAAACCTGAATGCAAAGTAAAATTTTTAATTCATGATTTTGGTGTGAAAAGTACACAACTTCACTTCCCTTCCCATTTTAGAGAAGACTGTAGATATTGAACGTAAATATTGCTCTCCAGAAAGTATCAAGTTTTTATCTTGCAGTGCCTCTGGAAAGTTCCTCAGAAGAACATCCAACACCTCCCATTCCAATTCCTAGAAAATGAAGAAAGTTGAACTTCAATCGAAACTTAATGCCAGATGATACATTATGATAGAAAAGTTTACCTGTTGTAAGCACACAAGAATAACATTCATCGCCTCGCTGTAAGGCAGTGAAACAATCCCGTTTGTCTTATCTTCTGCAGAACTAAACAAAAATGAGAATATTACGCAAACAAGAAAAGGAATTTTGGAAGCAGAATACCTGACATACGTGGCACTATCGTCATTAACCAACATTTTCTTTCAGAACAAACAAAATACGAAGTGAATTAAACTTTTCTACTTTTGTCTTGCACAAGGCCTAGACGTTGTCAGCTCGCAGACTGAGGAAACATTGAAGAATCTTTAAGAAAACACAATGTGAGACATCATAGAAAAATCGCGAGAAATAAAATTGAATTTGCCTTACCGAAAGCCGTATTTCCGATGCACTATACTATACGTCGATAGCCATTGTCATAATGAGTTTTTATGTGGTACACTAATATATTGAATATTCGTTCGGCTCGTTCTTGAGGTTTACGCAACAATTTTAACTGCGAAAATAGAATGAAATTACTGAAAGAGAAGCAAGTGTGGCATTAAATTACACTTATTTTTGTTCACGAAAATAACTTCATCACAATGAACGAATATGTGTGGACAATCTCTGCATGTCCTTCATTACCTTGAACAAGCGTACTAATCCTAATACAGCCTCCTTGATGTCTTTCTATGCTGTTTCATCCTGAGGCTGCAGCAACAAAGACAAATTACAGTGATTAGATGTAATTTTATGTCTCTAGATGTTCCTACATATACCTTGCAGTCTCTATAATTACCTTACATGTTCTTTACATGACGGCTTAACGTATCGCTTGAGAGGATCAACTGGACAGTGGCAATCTGGAATTGATAAATGAAATATATATCCTTTTACTTCACTGATGCGTTTGCATTCACGACCCCCGTGTAAAACGATCCAATTTGCGGATATATAGTTAGGTTCAGGTCAGGAAGCTTTCACTGATAAGAAAGAATTTTCTATTGAAGTACAGTATCAGCTCATCACGAATGAAGAGGGAAATTGGAGTGGAGAAATGAAACCGTCTGAAAATGATTGTATTGAGTACCTTCTCGATTATATGCAAACATCGCAAACTTTCGGTGAATCAGAGGATTCAATAACATCGACCAGAAGCTGGACAGCTCGGATCCGCACAGAAATATCCCGATCTTTGACAATGTGGTCTAAATGTGGCAACACTGAATTCTCAAGTATTTCTTCCTGTAAAAATCAAGGAGTTATAAAACTAGAAAAGATTCATAATATCGCTAATGTCTAGAAAAATGGACTAAAATTTATTCAAAGTACTAAAATTTTATACCTCATATAGTGGAGATAACGTTCCTAATATGTTACAAAGCACATTTAGAGCTTTAATTATGTTGGCCGTCCTCTCTTCACATCTAAAAAAAAATTCCCATTAGGATAAGACTGAGGCTACATAGAAATACATCACGAACTTAAACAAAAATCAACATACCAAAATATTACATTTTTACATAACAAAATATAAAGAAAAAAGAAGACCACACACTTGAAGTATTTCTCCACCAAATCTTTAATATTTTCAAACCAGTTTTCGCAGTAAGGATGAAGAGACTGGGAACGATGAGAAACCAGGAGAATAACTGAGGATTACTGCAAACAACGACATTTCATTTAGCTGCAAACAACGACATTTTATTTAGCTAAGTGGATTCCGTTAGATCTTCATATATTTTATTAATTTTGTCCTCAAAGAAAGTCATAAAATTGTTAGCTAGATTCTCATCAGATTGGCACACAGGATATTGAGAATCAGGGGTATAATGTAGTAACTTTCCAACGGTTTTAAATAATTTCTTTTGGTCACTCCAATTATCTCTAACAATTTCAGAATAATAACGAGTACAACTTTCCTATAATAGCTCACTGACACGGCGACATTGCTGACTGTATTTTAGACGATCACAGGATTGTCTTGACTTACGCCATACCCGCTCGAGTTTCCTTCTGATACGTTTTTCGTTTTTAATTTGTTCAGTGTACCAAGGTGCAGCTGGACGAATAATTATCTCTCTTGAAATAAGTGGTGCATGATGATCCAGAATTTTGGGCAGCTCCGAGTTGTATTGGTTGACTTTCGCACTTATATCAGCCGTGTTCCCAGTGTTAATCGGAGATAGCCTAATTTCATTAAGGAACGAGTCCATATTGATTGCTTTAATTTTACGTGACTCCACGACCCTTCTCTGAAACAATGGTTTTTTAAAATTGAGTTCATATGTAACCGTGTAATGGTCAGATATAGATGGATCATGAACGTCAATAGATTGAACAATATTTTCCTCATGGCGAGACAAGATAAGGTCTAACGTGTGACCACACTGTTAATTTTGCGGTGTCATATTGACACCAAAAAAGGTGTCAGATAAAAAGGTACAGAATAACACCATTTCGGGTGCTAAATTGACACCGCGAAATAAGGTGTCAAATTAGCACGATCTTTGGTGCTACTTTTACGCCAATTTATGGTGTTAATCTAACACCCGAAGTTTGTGTGGTTTAGTTTTTGCACTTTTAGCGCTAGCAATGGAGCGACTAAATAGCATAAGCTATAATCATACAAAGTGGACAAAATGCGATTTAAAAATATTTATTTCTACATATGTTGTGACAGGAAAATCTATGTACAAGAGTGTATAAAATGTCTAGGGTACTTAACGTCCTTTAAAAGTTTTTGTCCTAAGGCTTCCTGACGAGAGCAGTTTCCATTTGCCACACCAGCAATGTACTCCATGTTTAGTAGATAAAATAAGGTTGAGTCTGTTCTTGAATAAGTTAACATTTGCCCCTCCACCGCAATCATCAAAGTTTGAACATCTGAAAGGTCTTCTGAACCAATTATCCTGATCTATGGAATCAACAACCTATAATAAGAAACCAATGTTTTTTAAAAGGACTTTAAAAGTGTTTAAAAAACAAAATCAGCCCACATGCAGAGTTTCTTACACTTACAGAACAAATCTTAAAGAAGAGAGACTGAGATTCTCCTGCATTCTCCTTCAATGGTTCCTTCAAAATCTAAGCAACTGTGCTCTTGATGTCTGTTAAAAAAATTGTTTATCAATATAGATAGATTCTAAATAGGCCATATTTCATGTAGCAATAGCCTGTATTGCTATAATATTGTAATTGTGCCATTGGCTTTGACAAATTATTATTAATCGCATGATTTACCTGATTTCCCAGCAATTGCTCTCTCCACTCTGTTTATAAGAACCAATGTAGTTTTCTTGTTACATTTCTTGGCATAGTCCAAAACATTTTTCTGAATCAATGGATTGAAATTTGCCAACCATATCATGGATCAACTTGTAGTTTACTCTTTAAAATTCAGCTTTTACCTGAAAAAGAATTAATACAGTATGCTAGATACATTGTGAAAGAAAATTATTCTACTGGTAATTTAGAACCCATACTCTGTCAATTAACTAAAATATTAATGAGAATTTTACACGAAATATGACAGGCTAACTAAAAAGTTGCCAACTAGCACACATGGGTATTATGTCGAACAAAGAAATTTGGCAGTCAATTATCTGTTTGGATAGTTTCTCAACAAGAATTATGGCAAAGTGTTGAAATAGAGCACTTGATATCAATCAAACAGGTACTTTATATCAACATGAATGATGTAAACTAAAAGCAAACTTACCTCTGTAATAAGCTGGAGTGCAGGATATTTTTCTTAAATTGTTTCTACCCTTGGCCTTGTTATGATCCATGAACCCTGTATCAAAATAAATTGAATTATCAACATGTTTAACAAGTCAGATCCATTCCAGATGTTTAACAAGTCAGATCCAGGGTATCATAGAGGTGGTACACATAGATAATCATAAAGATTATGTATAACAACAAGGTTATCACTTACTGTTCCACCACAATTGAGTCAGCAAGAAAGGGATATTTCTAAATTATCATAGGTGAAATACTTTGTTTTTCTTCCATGGTTGGATACATTAATTGTATACACATCCCTTATTCCCTTGTGAATCATTAGAATTACAGTTTCCCCTTAATTTTCCACATTGAAGCCTTTGTTCACTCTTGGTGAAAACTTAAAATAGAAAAGAATAATAATTAATCATATAGATATTGTAGACTTATTTATAGTTGATAAATGTATCAGTCCACAATTCAACGTTACTATAGAACACAATCAATAGCTGGGCAATTGAATGACTGACAATTATAATTGTTAGAATACATGTTAAACTCAAATTTTTCAGCAGGCTATTAATAGTACTTTCAGCTAACCTGTAGCAGATTATACTTCTCAATAATTTTATCAAAAGATATATTACACAGGCATTGATATTTCATTAAACAAAAAACTTTCTCTAACATCAAATGTATCAAAATAGAGCATAAATTGTCAAATGTTGATATAGGATAAAATATCGTTAAATTACATCAATATAAGAGACTAGCGCAGATGCTTCATAAAATCACGATAAAAAAAATAAACATGAATAGATACCTATTATTGCAATGATATTTTCTTTGACCCAGATTGCTAAAGAGATCATCGCAGTATTAAAAGTAGAATTCATTTGGCTTCTCTATAATAAAAAATAACACACATTTGTTTGTTTGGCGATTTGGCCGTTTGAGCGAACATGGACCTCCGTACTCGATCAAATTCAATTCAATTCAACTTACCAAGATATTTCTGAGATAATGTCATAGCCAATTGTCTTGATATTTCCCTATGTGAGTTCGTTGTTGTTCAGCATATTCAGAAGTACCAAAATAGTTAAGAAATAACGCTCAAAACGTCTTCAACATGGCAGTATGAAGTACGTTTCAAAAGAGTTTTCAAACGACGCGCTCAAAAATTTGCATACAGGCGCTGATCACGTGTTACATTTTGTTCCTTATATGGACATACATATAGCGCAGGCGATTGCGAAATAAATACTTTGTAGCAATCAATACATAGGCAGTCCGAAAATATAGCGCAGAATAACATAGTTTGATAAAATGAAAAGGACAATGAATCACTATCGAATATCGATACTATCGATCTACCATTTGTCTAGTATTCGTCTCTATCGGTTTTTTTGTATCAGAACAAGCCGAATTTCCATGTCGTCAGATCACTCAGATGAATAGTTGCGCCAAAACGCACAGGAATTTCTTGTTCCAAAACATCTGATCATGAATTGAAAATACGGACTTATTTTCCAATAATTACTTAAAGAACCGCTTTTTTCCTATCCGCCATTTAGTGTTATTTTGACACCCCGTACTTTAGCTCTCAATATAGCGTTATTTTAGCACTTTCCGTCGGCAACAGAGGTGTTATTTCAACACATTACAATGGTGCTGAATTTAAAAGGTGTCATATTGGCACTTTTAGCGTAATGTCAGATTTGATGGTGTTAAATTAGCGCCGAAATTGGTGTCAAAATAGCACTTTCTATTTAGCACCACTGCATTGTGCTGATTTGACACCTTCGTTGGTGCTAGTTTAGCACCTCAAAATTAACAGTGCAGCAAAGTGTGTTGGTTGTTTTACACGTTGTTCCAGATTAAAAGAATCAACAAGATTGAGAATTTTTTTGTTGTTAATTCCGACTTATCGTCTACATGGAGGTCGATATAATACGATTATATTTAGAATTTGAGATGACACATTGATTTGCATACCCATCACTTCGAAAGACTTAATGTGTGAGAACATTTTCGCCGAGTCCAGCTTGACTTTTAAAGTGTTGTTGTATAGTATACCAATGCCTCCCCCTCTACCTTGTTGTCTCGAGATATTGTTAAAGGAGTAGCCCTTCGGGGTGAAATTCCCAAAAGATATATGATCAAATTTGTCAGGGTGAAGCCAGGTTTCTGTAATCGCAAATATATCAAATTCATTCTCAACCACATAGTCTTTGACTAAATTCGCTTTGTCCCGAATAGACCGTCAGTTGAGAAGACCAAAAGAACAAAACTGAGTAACAGCTGTATCAGGAGTGTTGGCAATGCCTGATAAAGGAATATTGATGAGATTGATTCTCTTAATATAATTTCTGCCATATATATTTACAGGCTTTGGGACACGGTCCGTGATTCTAACAGGGATAGCTTCCTGATGATTTGCAGGATGATAGTGTTTGTATAGTGTGGCGGTGGTGTTTGCGAAGTAGGTATTATAGCAAATATTCCTATAGGTCATATGGAACAACCAACCTTTCTGTAGATTCAACTGCCCAAGCATTGAACTATGCTCCTCAGGATTATTAGCGGGTCGAAACGTGTTCATCAAACGTAACTGCTTTCGATGTTGAGACATCTCATCCGACTGATTATTATCAAAAGATTGAGGACCAGGATTAGGCGAAACATCCACACACATTGTTAGATCCTGCTTGAAGGCTTCGTACACGGACTAGACTAACAAATCCATGTTTCGTTTCTTTAGCAATCGCAAATGAGACTTTGTATTTAGATTCAAAACGAACTCGTTGTATGTTGACCCGACATCGAAAAGCAATATCTCCACAAATACTCAAGGTTATGCCATCCGCAGCCAATCCATCCAAATCCGTGCAATTAGTACTCTTAAATGCCATATTAATTGGTCGAGATGTACGAAACTCGTTAGATGAAATAAATATCATAAAAAATATATAGAGCTGCCGACCAACCGACATATTGGTCGTGAATTAAGCAGTACGAAAACACAATATTCATTTCCATACACCAAAAGATGGTGATTCAATGATAACATCACGTTATCAGCTTTAGAGAATTTCTTTAAATAACTTGTTTAACGAATCGGATAGAAGCAAACGGGAACGAGAAGAAGAAGAAGTTGTGAAATCATTGTAAGTGTGTTTATTTCTATTTAAGCCCGACAACTTTACTTGTTCAGGGAAAGACATATTAGAGTTGTTTACTAGTAAAAGCTATGTACACACACCTTGGGTGGTGGCGGACAAAATATTGAATCATTGGTTATTTTTATTCTAGATCACTAGCTGCCTGTGAAGGAACATACAAAATTTTACTAAAATGCTACAAAAACAGCTGGATTGAAGGTTGTCAAACTGAAATGGTCTCCCAAGTGGCAAATCGATTGCTCGAATCCTACCATAACCGTGTTTCATTATAAATCTGTGAAAAGGATAAAGTAAATTAAATGAACGTGGCCGTTCAGCACAAGTACTTGTAGTCGATTGGAGAAGACAATTGTCTCCCAAGCGGTAAATCGATGGTTCGAATCCTACCATAACCGATTTTCATTATAAACTTCGTCAAAAGAAATACAGTAATTAAATAACCATGGCCATTCCCATAAGATCTTGCAGTCTAGTGGCTAATGCAATTGTCTCCCAAGTGTTAAATCGATGGTTCGAATCCTGCCATGACCTTTTTTCATTATGAACTTCGTGAAAAGAATAAAGTAAACTAAATAACAATGGCCGTTCAGCACAAGACCTTGCAGACTAGTGGCTAAGACAACTGTCTCCTAAGTAGTAAATCGATGTTTCGAATCCTGCCAAAACCATTTTTCATTATGAACTTCATGAAAAGAATGAAGTAAACTAAATAACCATGGGCATCCAGCACAAGACCTTTTGGTCTAGTGGCGAAGACGATGGTCTCCCATGTGTTAAATCGATGGTTCGAATCCTACCATAACCGTTTTTTCATTATGATCTTCGTGAAAGCGATAAAGTAGATCAAATAAACATAGCCGTTCCCCGAAGAACTTGTGGTCTAGTGGCCAAGACAATTTTCTCCAAAGTTTTAAATCGATGTTTGGAATCCTGCCAAAACTATTTTTATTGTGAACTTCGTAAAAGGATAAAGTAAACTAAATAACCATGGCCATCCAGCACAAGATCTTGCAGTCTAGTGGCGAGGACAATGGTCTCAGAAGTGGTAAATCGATGGTTCGAATCTTACCATAACGTTTTTCATTATGAACTTCGTACAAAGGGTAAAGTAAACTAAATAACCATAGCCATCCAGCACAAGACCTTTTGGTCTAGAGGCGAAAGCGATGGTCTCCCAACTGTTAAATCGATGGTTCGAATCCTACCATAACCTTTTTTCATTATGAATTTCGTGAAAGCGATAAAGTAGATCAATAACATAGCCGTTCACGCAAAGAACTTGTGGTCTGGTGGCTAAGACAATTTTCTAACAAGTGCATGTTAAATCGATGTTTCGAATCCTGCCAAAACTATTTTTTATAATGAACTTCGTGAAAGGATAAAGCAGACTAAATAACCAGGGTCATCCAGCACAAGACCTTACGGTCTAGTGGCGAAGACGATGGTCTCCCAAGTGTTAAATCGATGGGACGAATCCTACTATAACCGTTTTTCATTATGAACTTCGTGAAAAGGATAAAGTAAATTAAATAACATAACCGTGCAGCACAAGACCTTGTGGCCTAGTAACGAAGACGATTTTCTCCCAAGTGTTAAATCGATTGTTCGAATCCTACCATAACCGTTTTTCATTATGAACTTCGTGAGAACGGTAAAATAGATCAAATAAACATAGCCGTTACCCCAAAGAACTTTTGGTCTTGTGGCAAAGACAATTTTCTCCCAAGTGTTAAATCGATGTTTCCAATTCCGCCAAAACTATTTTTTATTATGAACTTCGTGAAAGGATAAAGTAGACTAAATCGATGGTTCGAATCCTACCATAACCGTTTTTCATTATGAACTTCGGAAGAACGGTAAAATAGATCAAATAAACATAGCCGTTCACCCGAAGAACTTGTGGTCTTGTGGCAAAGACAATTTTCTCCCAAGTGTTAATCGATGTTTCGAATCCCGCCAAAACTATTTTTTATTATGAACTTCGTGAAAGGATAAAGTAGAGAAATAACCAGGGTCATCCAGCACAAGACCTTGCAGTCTAGTGGCGAAGACGATGGTCTCCCAAGTGTTAAATCGATGGTTCGAATCCGACCATAACCGTTTTCATTATG